AGCGAAATACAATTTCAAACACAGTAAACCCAATCTTCCTCTTTCCTTTGCATCTTGTAACATTTTATATTTAACTTGTGGTTATTTCTCTTGCCATATAAATTTATATATATCTTTCTACCACTGTTTGAATAATGAATCAGTTGTCAAAACAGCTATTGTCTGAAACAAAAACAAAAAAAAAAAATCATTCTTGGCAAAACAGAGATCCTCCCCAACAATGACAATTTTAATTTCTCCCATCTTGACATATTCTTCTCAATTTCATTCCATGTCTTAACATAATTATTTTGAAATAGCATGCAATTCATATTTGTCATATTTTCTTTTTTATTCTTAACTCCCCTAATTCTCTCATCTTCTCTTATGTCTCTATTCAGGACCTCAAGAACTAAAATGAACCAAAGTGTAAACATCCTTGTTTAGTCTATTTTTGAATCTCACAAGGTTTTATTAGTTCTCCACTAACAATTATTTGTGCTTTCTGAGAAGTGTAAATCAATCTTACCTATTTAATGAAATTATCTCCAAGGTCCACATGTTCCAAAATTCTAAACAAAAAGTCCAATTCAAATTGTCAAAAGCCTTCTCTGCATCTAAGAATACATGCAATGCAGCTTCTTTTTTCATTATGTTGCTCCAAGGTACCCAAAATATCCAAAACATTTCTAATGTTATTCTTGTAATTGTCTTTTAGGTAAAAATCCACATTCATCATCATGATTAAAATTCTGTAAAATTATCTTCAACTTTTCAGCCAAAATCATGGTAAACAGCTTATAGTCATTATTCAGTAATGATATTGTTCAATACTTTCTTGTAAAAGTCAAACCTTATCCCTTTTTAGGTATTAAAGTTTAAGTTAAGGTCATCTTCAGACATTAATAATAAGAGGTCAGAACCCTTCTGGACCAGGTACCTTTCCTGTTTGAGTCTTTTTGATATCTTCATGCAGCTCCCTTATTGTTATAGGTCCATTCAAAATTTGTCTCTAATTATGTGTAATCTTTGGTAAATTCTGTTTATGCAAGAATTTATACACTTTTTCTGAGGAAATTTCTTGAGCTTTGGATAAAGTACTGTAGTATAATACTGGTTATGCATTTTTCCCATATTCACATTATCTGTTCTTACATTATTCCCTTCATGTAACTTTATTATCACTTTCTTTTCTTTTTCTTCTTGCAACTTGTATGCCATCCATCTCTGGTTTATTTCCAAGTTCAACATTTCTTTGTTTTGCATAATGCATCTTTATTTCCATCTCTCACTGTTAATATAGATAGTTGCCTTTGTAAAAGTTTGATTTGGTGAGTTATAGTTACTATCCCTGGAGATGTTTTAAATTCTTCCTTTTTTAAATCTTAAATTCACTATTGCATTATATAAAACATCCTCTTATAAAAGCTTTACTTGCATCCCAAACAATCCTTACTTCTGTAGCTTTATTGAGAGTATTCTAAAAAAAATCCTTTAACTTCTCTTTACAATCCTTCACCACCATTTCTTTTTGTAATAACTCATTCAGTCTCCACCTAAAAGATCCCTTTTTCCTTTTAAAAATTAAAGTCACAGGATTGTGATGTGAAAAAATCTTTGGTAATATCTCCACTTTATAGACATTATTAGTCAAAGAAATCTGAATCATATCTATTCTTAGAAAAAGACCTATGTCTTTCAGAAAAATAAGTATATTCTTTTGAATCTCCATTTTTATGTCTCCATGCATCAACAAGCTCCAAATTATTCATTAAAAATAATTTTAAAAACTTTGGTCATTTACCCTGTGTTATTTTAATATTTTTCTTAAAAATTCTTTTTGTGGGGAAACCATTCCATTCTAATCCCCTAGGAGATACCAATTTTCATATGTAAAATCCAATAATTTATCCATAAGACCTTTGCAAAATGCTGTTTCATCTTCATTTGGGACATAAATTCCCAATATCAAAGTCTGAGCCCTCTGTGTGTTGGCTTCTAACCCAAGATATCTGCCATAATGATCTGTCAATATAAGTTTGGATACAGTTGGGGTTTTATAGACAAAAAAACAAAAAACAAAAAACTGCATTTATTTTAATCCTACTGAAATAAATTTCTCTCCCAGATTTTTGTGACTTAAATATTTTTTTCCTAACTTGTTTCTTTTAGGCAAATGACATCTTCTTTTAACTTTTTCAACTAATGATCCCCCCCCCCCCCCTTTTGAGAGGCATTTGCCCCATTTATATTGCACATTAAGCATTTATACTGCTTAACAAGATCTTGGAAAACTGGGTTTCAGGAAATAATTGGCACTGACAAGGCTGTTAAGTTTAACAATAATAGCTGTAAATGGAATAACAACAACAATAATTATCAGTCACAGATCAGGGCTTCCTTAACCATAAAAGCATAAATGTAGATAATGAAAATCTTATAAGCTTAGTAGAAGAATAAATTTTAAAAAAATTAAGAATGTTTAGAGTTTAAAGGTGAGAGTGAGGTTTATGACCCTATTCTGCAAAGCCTTACTTCTTCAGCTATGTAAAATCAACCTGAGGTTACCATGGCTGTGTTTTGTCTCTAGGCAACTGACATGAAAACAAAGGCCCAAGAGATGTCTCTCATGCATCAGCATGACATCACAAAGGGGAATCTGCGGTCTCCATGCAGACTACTTCATCACAAGTCTGGGCTGGCAATTCAGGAACCTGAGTCAAGGCTTAGACTGAAAGCAACTGTTATATGCTGCTTTGGTTCTAGAGAAAGTAGACCTAAGAGAGAGCGATCAGAAATGCTGGTAGGACCTCAGATTATGCCAATAGTTTCCAGGTCTATTTTCTGAAATGTTATACTTTTTTTAGTTTCTGTATTTTAAAAAGCAAACTTTAACAGGTGATAGAGATTTTTTAGTTTGTCAAATATATGTCTGTATTATAATGATTATTTGCATTATTTGCATTTGCATCTGTAAAGAAAGAGTTCAAGCTGGATCTAGAGAAACTTTCAATGGATAAATGTCCTTGGAGATGAATATGAGTAGAAACAGGACTTATCTTTAATTATCTTGTACATGATTACAGTCATAATTAATATTTTATCACCTCTGATCATTGGAACATTGGAGTTGCCTAACCAAAATTGGAGTGAAGTAGGATTTTTCTCGTTCTTCTCATTCCTCCTGAAATCCACCTGATAGGAATGGGAATAGCTCAGGATAGGGGATTGTAGCTTACCAACTTCTCAAGTGGTAAAGTACAACCTGGAAGGACATGATAAGACTCTATCTGTATCTCAGCTGTGTTTCCCTTTGGAATTGCTTTCCCTTCCTGAGAAAACTGAGGGCAAAAAATGTAGAAAGCTCAATGCCAAGAGAATCAAACAGAAAATATAGCTGAAAGAAAATGTCAGAATCTCCACAGGACGAGTTTGATATTCTTATTTTTCATACTGTAAATGATTGGATTGACCAGGGCTGGAAGTAAGGAATATAGGACAGTGAATGCTACATCTAAGTAAGTTGGGGTGTTAGAGGGAGACCAAGCATGAAGTTACCAAGAACATACAAAAGATTATAAGGTGGGGAAAACAAGTAGAAAAGGCCTTCTTCCTTCCTTTCACAGAAGGGATACTCAACACTGCCTTAAAGATCATGGCATAAGAAACAATTATCAAAATAAAAGAACCTAATCATCTAGTGAAACTGGCCACAAAAGCTCCAAATTTAAAGAGATTGAAGCCACAGCAAGGTAGCTTTAGCAATTGTGGAATTTCACAGAAAAACTGGTTAACAACATTAGAACAGAAAGGGATGGAAAAAGTGCCAGTGGTATGCAATGTTCCACAGAGAAGACCTGTAACCCCCACTAGAATCACTGTTTTAGTCCAGGGTTTCCAATTCATCACCATCTCCTAGAGCAGTGGATTGCAAATGGCAAGATACCGATCATAGGCCATGACTGTCAGGAGGGAGAAATCAGAACCTTCAAAGGAGACAAAGATAAAGA